TTCCTGGTTATTGAAAACCTTAAATGCCATATTTACCAGATCTCAGATGGGGGTTTGGGGGCCACCCTTGGCCTTTTTTAGTTTTCTTCTAATATCTGGGGCTGACTGGGAGATAAAGTGAGTAGCTAAGACAGTGTCCCCAGTGTTAGAAGCTGGGTGAAGGTGGGTATGGAGCACCATTGCCTTGGTTAGTCTGTTGAGAAACAGCACCGGATTTTCTCCGGGGCCTTGGGTGACCTCTCTGAGCTTATCGTGACTGACTGCTTTCTGGGCAGATTGGTGCATACGTGCTATCAGGTACTCCACCATTTGGTCGTGGCGCCTCTGACCTGCCTGTCCTACCTGGTAGTCTCAGTCTGGTTCTGCCTCTGGCACGGGTTCAGCCCCTACTGGCCTGAGGGGATTGGTGGTGTGGGTTTGGTCTGCATGAGCCCTAGCCGTAGTCCGGACACGGTCACACTTGTCCAGGGTCATGGTGGAAGTTAAAATGATGTGCAGGTCATGCCATGTGAGGTCATAAGTCTGGACTAGGTACTGGAATTCCTGATAAAATTGGTAGAGTTAGTGGAGAGTGAATCTAGGCATTTTTCAATTGAAGAGAGGTCAGTTCGTGAAAAAGGGACATGGACCCAAATGATACCTTCTGCTCCTGCCACTTCCCGGAGGGGGCAAATGCGGGAGTCTAGGGGCTCTAGATTCAGGTGGGAGCGGGTGTTTGAGCTAACTGAGGAAGAAAGGTCTTCAGAGGGAGGGGGAGAATCTGGTTGAGAGGGGAGGGCTGGGGCTGGAGTAGCCGTTGGCGGGAGCTGATGATGATGATAATGAGGAGGAGGAGGAGGAGGAGAAGCAAGATCTTCAGGGGAATCAGAGAAAGAGACGGGAGGTTCTGGGGCAGTAGGCTTAGGAGTCCGGACGGGTTCAGGGTTTCCTCGGGTGAGGTGAACTTGGGCTGTGGAGCTTTGGGCGCACAGATCTGGGAAGGAGTGTGAGGCCCAAAAGCCCTGAATGTAGGGGACCTCAGACCATTTGCCAGTCTGTCTGCAAAAATTATCCAGGTCAGTAAGGGTGACGAAATCAAAAGTGACTTCAGGAGGCCAGGTTTCATGATTACCGAGCTGATATAACGGCCAGGCCGTAGTGGATAGAAAAATCAGCCGTTTTCACTTGAGGCCAGGGTCAATTACTTTCAAATTTTTCAGAAGGCACCCTAGAGGTGACTTAGGATCTGGCTTGGACTCTCCTGCCCTCCCATTCCTGGTCCCACGAGGATCAGCAAATGGGAATTGGCGTCCCTCAACCCAATCTGCTGGTCCGGTAAAAATGGGGGTCTGGGTCCAGGGATGTCTCCTCCGGTCCCAGAACCTCTCAGTGGGGGAGGGCAGTCCCTCCGGAGGGGTCGCCCCGACGCAGCGCTGCGGTTTCGGTGTGAGAGCAGTCTCTCCCAGCAGACGGGGGCCCGGAATCAGCGTTCGGGGACCAGAAACTTAAGTGCAGCGGCACTTACCCTGGTTCTTAGTCCGGACTGGTGGGGTGGCCATGAGGCCTCCTTGGGGAGTGGGGAGAGGAGTAGTCTTCAGCAGACAACAACTCCTCCTGGGTTTCGGCACCAAATGAAAGGTTTTCTAGGCTCCTCTGAGGAAGAAGTGCCAATCAACCACAACGTTAGGCAGTATAGAGCTTTATTGGGGTTTGCACGCCTGGGTGAGGTTCCCCAGTCCTCAGACTGAGGTTGGGGAAAGTCACGCCCAAGCAGGGAATGTGGCAGGGTTTTATTCTGGTTGGCTGTCTTCGTGGGAGCTGGGGATTGGTCCCCTTTGAACAAAGCGACAATATATCATTGGTGACTTTCCTTGGGATCAGGTTGCTATGTGCAGATCGTTTTGGCAAAGCCCGCCCTTCCGGCTCTCTGGTTTGACGTCAGCGTCCTGTCCGGGTTGTAGTTCAGCTGCCATTTTGTCCTACCCTGCCCATCCTGACAGCTGATAAAACCCGAACCTCCTTTCAGCCTCGGCTTGGCTTGGGAGGCATGGAGCCTCCAGGAGGCCTGCAGTGCCAGTGCTGAAGGGGGGCGAGGCAATTTCCACAAGTCCAGCCAGAGACTGGACTCACCTGGCCCCCCTTCCCAGGTCCCCACAGGTGCTTGATTGTCCTGGAAGGCTGCCTCCCCTCCTTCTCCTCTCCCTCCCCCTCCCTCATTTCTCTGCTCTTCCTCTTCCCCCTTTTGGTTTCCTCCTCTTTCTTCCTCTCCACCCCATCCCTCCTCGTGCACAGCAGATGAGGAAACTGAGGCTCAAGGTGGAAAGACTCGCCACGGTCACATGGCTCACAGTGGTGATGACCGAGATGCCATGAGACCCGGTGGATATGATCCCACAGCCTCCCTTCTGAACCGATATTCTGTGGGTTGACGAGGTAACTTGTTCTGGAATCCAGAGTGTTTTCCTCATGGAAATGTCTCTATCACTGGTTTTCAAACTTGAGTGAACTCCAGAATCTGCCAGCAGCTTGCTAACCTGCAGCCGCTGGCCCCCAGAGGGTTGGATTCTGCGGTGTGCGGTGAGGTCTGAGCGTCTGCAGTTGTAACAAGCCCCCAGGCAAGGCAGCTGCTGCCCGCTTTGAGACTGCTGGTCTCTATAACGACCTTTAGATGGCGATGTTTGGATTCCCCTGGGCATTGTGGAAATGCCTTCTGCTTTTGGACCAGGAGACTCTGGCGCTGCTGCTCGGCTGGGCGACCTTGGGCAAGTTCCTTGCCTTCTCTGGACCCAGTGTTCCCATCTGTGCAGTAAGGCAGGAACAGATATTCTCAGTACCCTGGGCAAGCGTGGCAGGGCAGGAGGAGAGGGCTTTGGAGGCAGGCTGGGTCTGACTTTTGACTCTGGGGAATTGTGTGACCTTGGGCAAGTGACTTAACCCCTCTGTGCTTCCACTTAGTATACTGGAAATGAATGAGTTAGACTGCACAGTGTTAAGTCTACATTTCACCGAATAGTTGACCATGGTGGGGAGAGAAGGATGAGGTTCTAAGGCTGGTCTGATGGGAAAGGACACACTCCCCACCCTGCCCAAGCTTTCAGGCCCAAAGAGAGCAAGAGAACCTCTCTCCCCTTTCTGCTTCCTTCCTTCCTTCCTTCCTTCCTTCCTTCCTTCCTTCCTTCCTTCCTTCCTTCCTTCCTTCCTTCCTTCCTTCCTTCCTTCCTTCCTTCCTTCCTTCCTTCTCCCTTCTCCCATCTTCTTTTTTCTTCTTTCTCTCTCTCTCTTCCTCTCCCTCCCTGACCCTTTCCTCTCCTCCCCTTCTCTTCCTTTCCACACAAGTTATTTTCTGCAGCCTTAGCTTTGGAATCAGACCTGGGTTCAATCAAATCTGTGGGCATGTTCTGGGCACCTTTGTTAAGACGACTTCCCTCTGTGGCCACGGCACCCACATCTGAAAATGGACACGTGACTCATCCCCCGGCGTTGGTGGCGGTCCACAGGATTGATTCCACGGAAAGCACTTGGTCCGCGACAGGTGCTCAGTAGCCCCTTCTGTCCGTTCCTCAGTGTGGGGTCGAAGGGCTGGGTCCTGAGCCGGACAGCTGGAATTCCATCCTTGCTGTCCCCTGACCAGCTGTTGGCCTCGGGCAAGTCACTTAACCTTTCCGTGTCCCAATTTCCTCCCTGGTAAAATGGGGACAGAAGTGATAACTGCCTCCTGGGGTTGCAGTCTGCGTAGGTGGCAAGTGCCTAGCACACTGCCCGGCTGTCAGCTGCTTTGACGATTCCACTGATGAGGGTGTGACAATGGGACAATGCAGACGATAAGCTGGGTGCTTAGATGGGGACAGAACAGGGAACAAAACACAGTCCCTTCCCCAAGGGGTTCCCAGGGCCAGGGAGAGACACCCTTACAGGCAGGGACAATATCACCTCAGTGCCGTGACTCGGGGGGAGCCCAAGGGGCCCAGGGGAGCCCGGAGCACCCCCCAAGGGGCAGGGAAGGCTTTGTGGGAGGTGGTCGCAAAGCTGAGATCTGAAGAGGGAGCAGAAGACCTTGGAATAATAAATATGTTCTTAAGAGTTCTTTAAAAGAAAATAATTGGGTAAATGTGGTTAAAAGTTGAAAATAACCTAATCGACCATCAAGCAATATTGATCGAATAAGCTATGGTTGGTGCCTGACTGGTGAAATAATTAGCAGCTATTGAAAGAGGGATATATATATATATATATATATATATATATATATATATATATATACACACACACACACACACATATATTTTTATATAAAATCACTGAATGAAAAAGCAGGCTACAGCACAGCCCATAGGGTCTGACTGCGTCATTTGATATTTATATATTATAACATATATGTATGTGTGTGTTCCTATCAGAGTGTTAATAGTATTATTTATCTTTGGCATCAGGGTTTGGGATAAAAGCAGAATTTGTATGGAAACGATACAGGGTCTGAATGTAGTCGTAAGTTCCGGCACATTTTGTCGGCCAGCTCTCCAGAATGGGCATGTCCACGCACGTTCCAGTTACGCAGGAGATTTTTGCTCCTGTATGACATTTTCTACAATCAAACATTGTAATCTTTGTTCACTTGATACTTAAAAAAAACCCTCATTGCTGTTTTAAGTTACAAAAGAAAAAGAAAAAGAGGGAGCCTATTCATCAGGCTGTGAACAGGGGCGGGAAGGGCATCCCGGTGGAGGGAACAGTGTGAGCGAAGGCCTGATGGTGAGGAGGCAGCCCAGAGTGGTGGACTCTCCTCCTTACTCTGCTCCTGGCAGCCCGCCATCTGCAGCTCCTGAGGCCCTTGTGGGGAGCACGGGGGCCCCCAGCTGCATGCGCTCCTGGTTTGTGCTCTGACAGTGGGCAGGGCTCCCAGCTGGGCTTGGCCACTGGGGGGGAGGCGGGTCATCCCCAGCAGGCGTCGCCACCAGCCACCGCCCACCAACCCAATCCCTGGCTGGCAGGGACAGCCCCCCCTGGCAGCCCCCGCTCTATGCAGCTGGCTGCCCCCACCCTCACTCGGTCCAGTTTCCTGCCCCTCCCTCTGGCTCTCCTCCCTCCAGCTGTTTCTCTGGCAGAGTTTGCTCCCATTCAGGACCGCAGCCCCGACCAGCGAGGAGCTCGGGACAGACTGAGGTCTCCCCAGGAGCCCCTTCGGGGATGAGGGTGTCCTAGGGGTCGGGCGGGGGCTGCGCTCTGTGGGATTCGAGGAAATAGAGGAACTGCTTTCTGGGCAAACAGCCACAGCTGAAGACTGGTGTGATCGGGAGAAAGAAGTCAGGAAGCACAGGTCTCCTGCACAGCCTGGTGTGGACCGAAGTCTTGGGGAGCCTTCCGGAAGACCCGGGCAGATACCAGCCTCAAGGTACCGATCTTGGCTCTGACACCACCCAGAGGGGCCAGGGAAGGGGAACACTAGTCCGAGAGAGTGGTTCTCTGGCTCTTCTTAAAATTTACTTTTTATCAAAGTGGATGCAATTCTATGATGATTTTCAGATTTCCAAAGTCAGGAGCGCTCATTGTTAAAAAAAAAAGTGAGGTCTCAGAAGTCTAAAGTTTCTCTGCTCCTGCTCACAGCAGCCCCATGAGAGAGGCAGGGCTCCGGGCCACGGTTCCCAGGTGAGGAAACTGAGGCTCAGAGAGGGGAGAGCACTGGCTCAGGGCTGGGGGCTCGAGATCGGGGTGGTGCGAGGGTCTGCAGAGCCTACTTTCTGTGCCACTAGCTGTACTAATACTCGGGGCGCAAATGAAAGAAGGGCCCTAACCCAGAGGTGGCCTCTCAGGTGCCCCCTGCGTCCCTCCCTCCCTGGCTGGCTCGCTAACTGACTCGTGATGTTTGCTGGGTGCCTGCGTCATGCCCGGCGTGTAGAAGTATGTAAATATGGATACACACACCTACTTGTTTCCCAGTTCTTTAGACTGAATGTGTTGGGGTGATACAGGTTAACAAGATCCTAGGTACACACCCTCCGGGTAGTGCATTGTGTCTCCGCTCACTTCTCCAGCAGCCGTCTGGGCAGCCTGCTTGTGCTGCACCTGGCTGTGAGCTGCCTCGCCCGTCCGCCGGGTTCCTCCACTACACCAGCAACCGCAGGGAGCAGTCATCTCTCTGCGTGGCTGTTTTCTTCTTTTTCTCCCCCAGGGTTATAAATAGTACGGACCTGCAAGAGTATGGACCTGCAGTGACCGTGCTAGTACGTCATCGCTGGGCATGGGTTCTCTGGACACCTTTCCAGGGGTGCCATTGCTGGGTCCAAGGTTGGCCCGTTTTTAAGGCAGTGGAGACTTTCTGCCACCCGGTCCCCAAAGGCTGTGCCGGCTCGCACTCTCTCCCGGTGCTGTCCTGGGATGAAGTATTCCAGCGTCACCCCTGCTGGTTGCTATCCAGCTCCTAAAACTTCCCTGATAAGCCCTGGCCGGGTTGCTCAGTGGTCTGCCACATCAACCCATGCACCAAAGGGTCACGGGTTCAATTCCCAGTCAGGACACATACGTAGGTCGGGATGCGGGATACGTATGGGAAGAAACTGATAGATGTCTTTCTCTCACACGGATGTTTCTCTCTGTCTCCCCGCCCCCCCATTCCTCTCTCTGAAATGAACAGACCAAGCTTCCCTGATGAGAAAGGTGAGAGAGCACCTGGGGCCTCACTCTATGTTTCTCTTTAACGCTGATTCGCCTGGATAATCGTATTGTCCACTTCTCTTTTATGATTACCTTGCTGAAGTCCATTCCCATCTCTTTTTTCCTGTTAGCTTGTTTATCTTTCTCTATTTGATATTTAAGAAGGATATGAGCCCTTCACCAGTGTTCTCTGTTGAAAATATTCCACTCCCCCCTCTGTTTTCACACTAGCACAGTTTAGCCATAGAGACCAGCTTTGTGCGAAATTAAAAGCAAACAACACTTAATAATTAAGTACAGTCAGTCCTCCACATTGCAAGTTCTGCATCGGCAGATTCAACCAGCTGCAGATCAAAAATCTTTGTAAAAAAAAAACACAACAAGTTTTGTTATTGTCGACATGTGCTCTGTATTTGGACCTGCAATGGATGTATCTACCGAACATATAAGCAGTATGTTCTGGTCATTCCCTAAACAATACGGTACAACGACTATATATAATACACACTATTTACGTTGTATTAGGTATTATAAGTGATCTATAGGTGATTTGAAGGATGTGTGTAGTGTATGCAAATACTCCACCATTTTATATAAGGGACTTGAGCATTTGGGATTTTCGTGTCCGTGGGGGTCGTGGAACCCAGTCCCCGTGGACATGGAAGGGTGACTGTAGCTGCTCTTGGACGTACGTCTGTTCACTCCGACCTGTGTGGTTAGGAGAGGACAGTGAGACGGTGCTCAGGCCCCGAATCTCCTGTCTCTTTTCACGCAGGCCCTAGTGTCCCTTTTGGAGTCCCCTACTTCCTTTCCCCTCCTTGCAGCTCTTGCTGTCTCTCCTGCTTCCTCCAACTTGCTCAAAGGAAAAATTTCTCTAAATGCCTCTGCTGCCGAAATGAGCAGGATTGGCTAATTCAGGCCTCTGCCGGCAGGAGGTGAATAGCTCAGCATTTTCTCAAGAAAGAGATTTAACTTAAGCTGTCGGTGCACAAGTGGTGGGGCGTCAGGCACTGGAATGAGTTATTTACCTCTTGGTACACAGGGACCTTCTTTGACTCCTCCAAACGTCAGAAATAGATAAGTTCGACTTTGGGTACGTACATCCCTCTTGGGCTGAGCCCTTCTGAGAATTTCCCCTGCAGCTGCGCCAAGGCCTATCTGCACGAGACCCACCCTCCAGGTGCCTGAATTTCCCGCCACAGTGCCTGTCACACTGTGCTGTGTTTGCTGGCCCTGCTGTCTGTCTCTCCTGCTGGCCTGTGGGGCTCCTTGGGGCCTGAACGGGGGTGTCATTCTCTCTCTATCCTCAGTCTCCAGCACAAGACCTGGGATGTAGTAGGTGCTCAGTAAACATTCATCGAATAAACAAAGTAGCCAGGTCTCAGTTTCACCATCTGTAAAATGGGATGAGGGACTTATACTGACGTTTCATCTCTTAAATATTTACTTAGTAATGCCTGTCAGTTTGCACCCCATTTTATTGTGATGATTTCCTGAATCCTCACATGGCTATATGATAAAGGTACTATTGATATGTCTGTTTGACAGATTAGGAAATTGAGTCCTGGAGTGGGGTTCTGATGTTAGACCCCCAGAGAAGCAATAGAGCACTGTGGCTATGGGGTTCGGTTCTGTTGGGTGGGCTTGATCCTGGTCTGCCACCTGTCAGCTTAGGGACCCAGAACCAGTGATTTCTTATGTTTACACCTCAGTTTCGTCATAAAATGGGAATGTGAATAGTAACTACCTTCTAGGATTATTAAAAGGTTAAATGAGATGATACATGAGGGGCACTTAACAGAAGGCTTGTCATGTGGAAAGGACTCTATAAACATTAGCCATTATTCTGTTATCATTTCTATACCACCAGTCTATCTATACCTGTAGCACCCATCTGAGCCCAGTAGAAATTATTATTGCTTTCTTTACCAGTAGATTATCAATGACCAAGTTCCTGCCTGCCGGGGTACAAGAAAACTAAAGGCTGATTTCATTCTCTTTGAGCTACGCAGCATGGGTGCAGCTATCACCTCCAGTATTGAGGCTACGAAGTAGACTCAAGACTTCTCAAAGTGTAACCCTGGAATTACTGTCCTTATGATTAATAACCATGAGTATTTCTTAAAGCTTCAGTTTTCTGACTCAGAATATCTGAGGATGAGAAGCAGTAGGAGTCTGCATGTTGAACCTGCTCCCCAGATGAGTCTGATGCACCCCAAAACTAAAGAGTCCTCAAATGTCTCCTCTTTTTGCCTTTGCCCAGGTCTCTGGGCTCTTTGCTGCACACTGAGGCTGTTTTTTGTTCCTTTCTAAGTAAATGTCTATGTACTTCTTGCAAGTCAACATGTCCTGTGTCAGCAATTGCGGCCAGGAGGCAGGATGGACAAGAAGTGAAACTTTGCTGGGTTGTACCACAGAAAGTGGGATCATGTTAGCAGTCACCCAATGTGCAGACCAGTACAGTGGTCCAAACCACAGAAAATCCATGAAGAAGTACAAGTTGGAAACAGATAGAAGTGGTGTTGGTCTGGTTGAGATAGAGGCGGAGGATTCCAGACCGCAGCCCGCTGGACCTCACTCCCTTAAAGCGCCTCTAAGGACCATCAGCGCTCTGCGGGGCAGGCTGAAAATTGCAAACCCACTCCAAACCATCATGAGACCAAAGTTCTTGACCTTTGCTGCATGTGCTTTGTGACCTTAGGCATGGTACTCTCACTCCCCATCCGTAATCATTGGTAAATAAGGAGGTTGAATGTTGTATTTGTCTGGGCAGTAGCTGTAGTAACTGCTAGACCAGAGACATGTACAATGGCTCAATAAGACAGACGTTCATTCTAAGGCAAGTATTTCTGAATGGAGGGGGGTCCTCTTCCACGCAGTGATTCAGTGGCCCATCTCATGTCCCTACTATCCCCTTAGACAACGTCACTGATGAAAGCAATCATGGGGGCAGCATGTTTGCTGCTAAACTGCCTTTTACCAGATCTAAGAACCAATCGTGTGACCAATCTGGTTGTACATGGGTCTGGGAAATGGAGTTCTCGGCCAGGGCGGCTTCTTCCCAGCTACAGTTGCACACTGTAGGGGGGCAGGGAATGGAGTTTCGTGGACAACTGGCTGTCTCTGCCACAGTTACGGTGGCTTCTTGGGTCTCCCATTCTCTGAATCTACGTCTCCATGTTCATTAGTCCATCCTAAAGTTAACATGGTAATAACGGACCCACAAATACTTCTCTTTCCTTGAGATAATCCCCATCAAATATCAGAAGTAAATTCCAACATTCCAGGCCCTTAAACACGGATTTCTCTGGAACTTGGACAACTGCCATTCTCTTTCCCTTCTAGAAAAAGGAAACAAGAATCAGAGTTTTGTTGTGCACAGCAACAAACATTGCTGAGCCAAAGGTTTTCATATCCAGTATCGTTTCATCCCCTTACAACCCTATATTGAAAAATTTCAGGATCATCGGCCCCCATTTTACAGGTGAAGAAAGTAAGGCTCAGAGAGGTAAAGGGGTTTGTCCGAGGTCACTTAGCTCATGAGCAAAAGAACTGGGATTTGAAGGAAGGAAACCCTACTCCTGCCATAGGGTCCCATTCTGTGTGTGTGTGTGTGTGTGTGTGTCTAAGGTAGGGTTTTCTTGGGCTGTACTTCCCCAGTGCTGGGCATAGGGGAAGTGCAGGAATCATTGTCCAAGTTCCTAGCAGGGGTCAAACTTATTGATTGCAAGGCAGCTGGGT